TAATGACAGAAAGGTAAAAAATACATGAAGAATTAGATGAGATTGAATTAATGCGAGATTGCATATGTAGTCAGATAAATGCTTAGGTTTGTGTTTAGTTCTGATTGACTTTCTAATATCTTGGTCAATATCAGGGTTTGGATCAATGTTAGTTGTATGTGTATGATCATTATTTTGATTAGAGTTGTCAAGGGTTGGTTCATTTGGTGTAGGAATTATAGGCCGTGTATAAGGAATGATGTCAAAGTCTATATTTGGTGATAAAGGCTTAACAATTGGTTCAGTATTGGTCATGGTGTTAGGGCTAGTGGGAATGGAATGAGTAGAATGATAATGCAAATGAAATGGTGGATTGAGGTTATGATAAGGTAAAACATGCTCGTGATAAGTTACATGTCTAGAAATGAATATGATTTTGGTGTTAAGGTCAAGTAAAACAACTCCTTTAACACCTTGCTTGTGTTCCAAGCATTAAGCTTAGTTTTATGATTTTGAATGGTAGAGGCATAACATAAAGAGGCAAAAGTTGAGTTCATGAAAGTTATAATGGTCACCAAATCTATGAAGATAAGGTGACTTGTTTTGTAAAATGAGACTAGGGATTCTGTTAATGACGTAAGTGGCTTGTAAAACTGCATATGACCAATATTGTTTCGAAAATTTTAATCGAAAATGTAAGGCTCTACCAATATTTAAAATGTGTTTATGTTTTCTTTCAACACAACTATTTTTTTAGAGAGTTTCAACGCAGGTGGTTTGATGTTCTATTCATTTAGATGCATAAAATTGAGGCATTAGGAACTTGGGACCATTGTCACTTTCCACTATTTTGACATGACAATGATATTGTGATTAAATCATGGTTAAGAACTTTTGAACAAGATTAAGTACTTCAAACTTCGATTTATATAAAATGATTCAAGCAAATCTACTACGATCATCTAAAGCATTAAAGAAATATTTATGACCATGGTCTTTCTTAATTCTCACATCAATGTATCTTCTTTGTTTTTCTGTCGCTTTTCCCTGTTCGGAAACTCGGCGTAGGTAGAATCTCTGAATCACTTCTACTTCAGAAAATAATCCCGTTTTGTTCTTTGGTTCTGATTAGGCACTTGTCAGAATGATACCAATTTGGTATGAAATTTGCTTGACACTGAGCCTTGCCAAGTTACATAGAGCCAAGTCAAATAAAGAAGTTGCTAAGTTAATAGGAGCATTTGAAAGGTTTGAAAATAGCTTCACCCAAACATGAGTTATTCTGCAACATTGATGCTTCCATTCAACATATTACATATTTTATGCATCCATTTTACAAATGAAGATGCTTGGTACAACTTCTTACATATGTTACCTACACAAGTATTTTATAAAAAGCCCTACACAAGTATCTAATTGATCAGTTCACGACACATAGTTTATTGTTAACTGTATATTAGAAGAAGAAACTGATTTCAGTACTTCTCTTTCTGATAAATGTTCTTCGACAGGATCATTAATTGGTATTCCTCACATGATATCGACATTTTATAGTGACATAACCATCTACACATATTGTCTACTTCCTGAGCTTTTTCTACACATGCTCATGAACTTGGCCACAAATTCTGTATACAAGAGCATATTAGTCAATATCGTGTCAAAATCAGAAAAATTCGTTAGTTTAAACGCAATTCTTATGATTGGTGTCTTACCTTCTAATTTTAGTAAAGCTGTTGTTCCTGGTGGAAGTCTTCTATCCTGTTAAGCATAGAGCATTTGGTTACTAATTTTACCAGAAAATTTCCTCTTTTATAACTTACCTTCACCTTAAGGCAAGTCATTACTCACATAATAAGCATGCCAGTAGTAGAGCTCCCTTTTTACTCCGGTCTCAACTCTTCTTAGGAGCTCTTCCACAAGTTTCTGAATGTTTGAACAAAATTCCATTAGAAAATAGTGTTGGAAAAGTTGAATAAGGTTTCTTTGAAACATGAACCGATTCATTACCAGGAGAATCAATTTCGGGTGGACAAAGTCCAGGAGAAGCATTTGAAATTTCCCTCTTATTGAGAGTAAGCTGATAAAACCATAAGAATATTTAAAATGAAAACACAATCATATTAGCAATTGACAAATTCCAAGCTACAAAATGATGTTACTTATTACACAAGTCTTGAAATAAGCCAGTTCTAAAAGAACAGCAATAATATAATAAGAGGCTATTAGCTTCTTATTATCTCCTTATAGAAAACAGATAGGAAGAGAAGTTTCTTGCCGTGAAAATGATGGATCGGTTAAAATCTCTACAGCAAGTTCTATTACAATCTTCTCCCACCCAACTGGAATCGGTTGTTCTTCTGAAAATGGATAGCTGTTCATCATATAATGCATCAGTTAGTCTTTATAGACGCGTCAAAAAAAAAAAATTACTTGTTTTAAGAATTCTTACTTGTGTGCTTTGCAGGCTTCAAGAGCCAATATTGCTTCCCTGAGGTTCTGCTTAGATTTTGTAGCAATCTTCATGGCAAAACTCATGGATAGATCAATTTCTTCTTTATTTGCTATCTGAGTAAGAGCCTCAATAATCTTGAGAGTTGAAGATTGATGTGAGTTAATAACTTATTTTTTGTTGAAGTGTTGATTAGTTATTAGAAAATTATTTATGCTTACTTCATGAGTTTGAGGAGCATCAACATTGATAACTTTGAACCGGTTTTTCACAGGTGGAATAATATTTTCATCATCTTCACAGCATAGAACAAATTTGCATATATCTGAATATCGGTCTATGATCCATTTGATCAAGTGTTGAATGTTCTCTACAGCTTTGTCGACCTCGTAAAGAATTATTACTGAAATCAAGAGAATCCAACCACATTAACCTTGCTCACATGAAAGGATAAATCAGTTTGAAAAGATAAAAACACGTTTAGAAAGCTAACCTTTATAATTTGACTTGAAATTGACATTGCTTACTTCAGGGGCAATTGCATATATATTGCTAATTTCTTTGATTAATCCCATCAAAGCATATTTGGCATTTGGTTCTGAATTTACATTGAGCTCCATGTGATGAGGACTCGATGTGATTGAAACCGATACTTTCACAGTCCTTTTGTCCTGCCATTGTAATATTCGGAAATGGATTGGAGATGCAACTTTTAGAAGTGATATGAACATCTTTTTATAACTTAACGAAACGACAAAAACCTATAAGAAAGTCGGAAATCCTTACCTGAATAGGGAAATGTCTTAGATCATGTGACAGCTGCAAAAAAGTTTGATAAGGTCAGCTTAAGAATACCGAACACGCGTAGAAGGAAAACTATGAGATGAAACATACTTTACAACATGAATCACCGTATGCTTCTCTAAGAAAAGCCATTGCTAGATCTCTTTTCCCGGAACCAGAGGGTCCTTTGAGCAAAATGTGAGGGCAAGAGCCTTGTGACACCTGAAAAACAAGGTAAAAATTTATGATAAATATTAAACTTGCCTTAAATTTGAGAAAACTTTGCTAAACATACTAGTTCCTTGAGAAGTTGAGCTTCTTGTTTGTTGCAAATGAAGCCATTGAGTGAAGCTGGTTGATGTTTATCAGCCCATAATTGTGGAATGCTTTCCACAATTGTTGCTCTCTCAATCAACGAAGCCTCGTCGATTGGTCTACGTTCAGGTGATTTTCTTGAAGTTCTACAGTTTCCTGTTCTCATCATGCAGGCAAACCATGCATCTTTCTGGCTCTTTTTTCTGTTGGATGTGAATTTCCTCATGCTTTCGGTTGTCTTTGTGCTAGCATCACTTTTTACGCTGGATTTAGCGCTAGACTTTCCAGTTCCACTTCCCTTTCTGATCGATGGTCCCATCGTTGTTCGAGATAACAATGCATTACTGGAAGAGGTTCTTGGCTTATTCGTATTCGTATTCGTATTGAATTTACCACTTTCAGATGGGTTGTTAATGGTAGTCATCACTGGTCTCGGACTAAAATACCCGTATTGTTCAACTTTTTTAGGCAATGAAGGATTCTTGGCTTGCAAGGCATTGCATTCACGGGAAAAGAAAAGATCACCTGGTTGAATTGAGTCTGTACTTTCTAGTGCTGATGAATAATCATCGGTAGGATCATTTTTCGATATCTTCACCTGTGCTATCATTTCATTGACTTCTCTTTCTCTAACTGAACCTGTTTTGAAGGGAGATTTTTCCCTTTGTTTCAGAATCCTTACCGTGTTTTGCAATGTTTGTTGTGGCTCTCTCAATCTTGGAGCAGTCACCGCTCTCCTGTAGTTTGGTTTTGTACTCACTCTATCCACTTCCAGAAGCCCTGAATTCGCTTTCCTGTTTTCATTAGAAGGTGTTCTTTGCTGATGATTTCTGTTATAAGGAGACACTGTTCTTCCAAAGTCTGGTCTCGGCAAAGGACTAAAATTTCTACTTGAGTTTATACCAGACATGTATGATAACGAAGCATCGTCATCATCATTACCATCATCTCGTGCTATGCGTATCTTATAGGGTGATTTGCTGAGATGTCGTCTTCTTGGTTGGTTAAGAACTGAACCTGTTATTGAAGGTGACGACAAGACTTCAAATTCAAATTTTGAAGGGTGTCTCTTGTGGAGTATCATTGGACTTTTGTTACTCTGAGACATAGCTTTTGTTTCTTCAGGACTCAAATTCGTGTTCTTTCTACCTCGTTCATGACGCGGAGTGTCTTGCCACTCCGTCTCCGTGTCTGATGGCTCGTATCCACTGCGTCCCTTCTTGGTCGAGAATATTGAACTTGGAGTCAGAGGAAATAAGTTATCTAGTCGCGTCTTCTCCATTAACCTCTATCGCAGCACGAAATAGAGAGTGGTTTTGAGACTGGTGTTTTAGCCGAGAGGTAGTAACAATGTTACTGAGGAAAAAAGGCGAGTTTGTGAGAATGCTAAATAAAAAGAGGATGTTGAGAATAGAAGTGCGATGCTATCGAAAAGAGATGCATTGGTGATGATAATAACGACAACAATCGATGATGAAAAAAATGTGTCTTTTGTTCATTCATATTTTGGCATTAGTATATGTTATTGTCCTTTTCCTTTCTGGTTCCGGACAGTTCGGATTACATGAGAATTTTGAATCATCTTGTAAGGTGACAGCATTTCATGACGAAACTAGGAACTTGTTATTAACGTATTATTCTGCTAAACTATGTAGAAATAAGCTTAGTTATGAACGTTTTATTCAATTGTTGTCTTTTGCAAACAATAGAACAAAATACAATATTATTATTGAGAACAAGACAAAACAAATACAAGTAACATAGTACAATGGATATGGCACAAAGCCTGTGAAACAATTATTTCTGTCTCATTGAAGATTCCTCAGACAAATTGATTTAGATATTCATCAGCAGTAGTGTATTTCACATCAGGATAAGAATCATAAGCTTCAACATCTTTGGCAGGGTCAATCTCATACACTGCATCTCCTTTTATTTGTTGTGAATGGTACAAAGCCAAAAGATAGTTATGAGGGAATGAAGATTCTGCATCAAAACAAGCAACTTGTTTAATATCTTTACACCGCAAAGTTCTCAACAATATTTGTGTAAGGGTTTGTTTTACTAACCTTGAATGTCTTTAAGAACTTGTTCCTCTGAAACATATGTTTTCTCTAGAGTTTTTCCGATTTTTTTCTCCCATAGAGCAATGACCTCATTTGTTGTCAAATAGTTGTTTGGGAGTCTTATATGGACAGCTTTGTTCAATGTGTTGGGATCATTTGCTGCTCTGATAGTATAAGTCCCAACATCAGCCTCAGTCACATATGCTCCTGAAATGAGTAAGGCGAAAATATCGAAACAGCTGAATTACACGCGTTTTTGTTCAATACTAGTGTTGAACGCTATAGCACCGATATTTCATATTGAAAACGTGTTTAGTGTCTGACACATGTTTCGTGACTAGCCAACTAGGATTTTACCTTTCACGTTTCCATCTCCAAGAATGACAAGTTTGTCGCGAGGAGGATCAGTGGCGTCGAGTTGAGCTAAGTTACGTAAGAAGTAACCGGTAAAGGCATGGCAGCAAAGGTAAGTGTAAGGAACTCCTTCAGATTCAGTTACTCTTCGGATAATCGCTTTTTCTTCAAAAACTTGTCTCACAGGCTCAACTGCATCGTGACGATCAACATCTAGTCCAAATTCAGATGGGAAGAATCTCTATTGACAAAAGAAGTTGAGATCAAAAGCTCTATATAACAAGCCCAAATTCAAGCATCAAACAAATCATTAGTTCACCTTAACGTTTCCAGCTTCTTTGATTGCTTTAATGACCTTAACTTGATCTTCAATTAGTAGTCTACCAGCAGCACAGATCACAGTATCAACTTGCTTGATAGAGTTAACAAGAGTTTCATGATCATTGATATCACCCTGCAGAGTCAAACTCATTAGCATATAGGTTAGAGCAATTTGTTAATTAGTAGAATAGAAACTTATATCCAAAATTGAAGTGAAGTGATTTACTTCAAGTAGAATAACTCCAGAAGCTTGATAATTCTCAAGAAGTTCCTCCTTGGTTTCAGGATTAGCAGCAGTGACTAGTTTTGGCTTGTTAACATTGACAGGTGTTTTCCTAACCAAAGCATATGTTGGATTTCCTGCTTTGATACTGGCCCAAACTATGTGTCTTCCAATTGCTCCTGTTGCTCCAAGGATCAAGATTTTGTTTTCTGAAGCCATTGGAAAAATAGTAAAAATACAACAAATGTGTATGTGTTTTGTGTGTTGAATGTCAATATTTTGTTTGGTTATTTATAGGACTAATTGAATTGTCACCAACTTCAATCTAACTATTACTCAAGTCTCTCTAGGTTTAGTGATCAAATTGAACACTCATTTTTCGTTGAATTAGAGACAATCTTACTATATTAAATTATTATTAAGATTTTTTTTTTAAATGTTATTATTGGTTGGAAATGAGAATCCTTCTATTTTCATTTTTTTTTTAAATTGAAAAGGAAATATTATCTCTATTATGAGTCACCAAATTATATTTAGGAAATTTTTTTAACCACTTTTATATGGGTGAAAAACACCTTTGAAAATTCTAAAATATCTTTCGGATATACATATTCAAATGTACCCTTAAATCTATTTTCAGGGAATTTCAGATAGGTAAATCCGAAAATACCTTTGTCACATAAGTTTGCTTCATGATCACCCCACAACTATTTCATTCATTTTCATTTCATTTCTCCCCATAACCAAAACCTACTTCAAAACCTCTACCATTCTCAACAATTTTTTCGTCTCCAAATCAAGTTTCAAATATTTTATCATATCAAAGAGAGCATAGAAAGCTACGATTTAAGATATAATTTCCTCATTTTGCCTCTCATTTCCTTGCATTGATTCTGATTTATGTTGGAAAAAACAACGTTACTTCATATATGCATATCCGAAACGCACCTAACATATTTTGGATGTGCATATCTGAAACTATGTTTGTTACGGAAAAACCGAATTTTGTGTTGAACAAATTTTATGTTTTCGACTGTTTTAGATATGGTGCACCCCGACATGTTTTCCAAAACAGTTGTAAAGGATACGAAGAAGGTGAATGAGGATGCTAAGCCGGAAGAGTTGAAGAACGACGTTAAAATGATTATTGTCGCGGTAGATGTTCGATAATAATTTACAAATGATTAAGTTTTTAGTGCTCGTCAATATATGTTAGATTGGTCCTAATTGAAGCTAGCAAAGTCGAGTTTGGTGTTGTGATTGGAAGGTCAGACAATAACACTAGTAGAAGGCAATCATTTGTAACAATGACATGCGAGAGAAGTGGAAAATATGTTGCGAAAATTTGGAACTTAAAACATGAAGACACCAGATCAAAAAAATGTGAGTGTCTATTTAAATTGCGTAGATATTGTAGGGTGGATGATTTTTGGTAGTTTAATATCATATGTGATTTACATAATCATGTATTAGACACGAAGCTACAAGGTCATCCTATTGTAGCTGAGAAACATACTTGTTGGTTTGAAATAAAAAAGACCACAAAGTGTTTCAAATATCAAACAGGTATACAATGAACGTTATCATTAGAACATAGTGAATAGAGGTTCGAGATCCGAAATGCAACAAATTTTGAAACTTCTGGGCGGTAACTACTATGTTTCAAGGTACATAGTGTGTGAGGATAAAGTCAGTGTCCGTGACATATTTTGGACTCATATAGAAAGTATCAAGTTATTCAACACATTTCTAACCGTTATTATAATTAATTCAACGTACAAGACCAACAAATATAGGCTTATGTATCAAGAAATTATTGGTGTCACTTCTACAGAGAAGATATTTTCGATTGGATTTGCATTTCTGGAATCTGAGAAAGAAGACAACGTAAAATGTGTTAGTGGGTGAGACACTTTTAGTGAGGAGAGAAAGAGAGAATAATAAAGGAAATAAAGATTCTATTATTCACTTGAATTGTATTGTACAAAATAAGGATACACACTATGACTATTTATATACAACTCTAATTGGACTTGAGCTTACATAACTTGGAGTATATTTAAATATTAAATCAAATCAAATCTAATATAATATTTCAACACACCCCCTTAATCCAATTTGTAGAACATACTTAAAAATAGTCAATCTGAGCTATTCCTAATTTCTTTTTTAAATTCAGGAATTTATCGATCTTTAATCCTTTGGTGAAAATATCAGCCAACTGTGCTTTACTTGAGAAATACCCAACTTCAAGTTCACCTCGATTTATCTTTTCCCTCAAGAAGTGAAACCTAACTTCGATATGTTTACTTCTTCCATGCATAATTGGATTCTTCGCCATATTTTTGGCTGACTTGTTGTCGATTTGTAATACAAGAAGTTTCTTCACTTTGATAGTCATTTCTTCAAGCACATATCTGATTCAAATTGCTTGACATGCAACATAGGATCCTGCTATATATTCAGCATCACACGATGATAATTCCACCACATGTTTCTTCTTCTAACACCATGAAATTGGAGCACTAAATACTTGAAAGAAATATCCAATTGTGCTTCTTCGATCTTCCTTATCTCCATACTAATTAGTATTTGAAAAACAATTAATTGTTGATTCTTTGCTTTCAGAGTCTCATCGAAATAGTATTTCATAGTTTATTGATCCTTTTAAGTATTTTAGGTTTCTTCTTGCAGCCTTCATGTGTGACACCCATGATTCACTCATGTATCTGCTCACTAATCCGACAGCGAAATCTATATCAGGTCAATTTTTGCACACATACGTCAGAGATCCTATGATTTGCTTGAACAGAGTTACATCGACTTTGTCTTCCTCTCCATTCTTCTCCAACTTAACATTTGGTTTGACATGTGAGGATGCATGATTCAAATCATCCATTATGAATCTTTTGAATATCTCTTTAACATACTTCCTTTGATGCATCACCATACCTTGCTTCGACATTTGAAATTCCATGCCTAGGAAATAAGACAATTTTCCCAGATCCAAAATTTCAAATACCTTTATCATCAGCTCTTTGAACTTTGACAAGTTCTCCAAGCTATTTCTAGTTACCAGCAAGTCATCAACATACAAGAAGATGATTGTTATATCTTGTGCTACAACTTGAACATAGACACCATACTCAGACTTGCATTTTACAAATCCCAATTCGACTAAGTATGAGTCGATCTTCTTGTTCCATGCCCTAGGTTCCTGCTTGAGGCCATAGAGAGATTTGTGCAACTTATATACTTTACTCGCTTCCTTCTGAATCACAAACCCAAGAGGTTGTGTGACACAAAATTATTCATCTAAAGGACCATTCAAAAATACTGATTTTACATCTAAATGAAATGTCGACCAGCCTTTGTGACATTCCAATGCTACCACTATTTGATCAATCTCCAATCTTGCTAATTGAGCAAATACTTCAGAGTAGTCGAGTCTTGATCTTTGAATAAAATCTTGAGCTACTAATCTTTATTTATGTCTTGCTATCGACCCATCAATATTTTGTTTCAACTTGAACACCCACTTTACGTCGATTACTTTTGTATGCGCTGGAAATTTGACTAAATCCCATGTGTTGTTTCTTTCGATTGCCTGTAACTCTTCGACCATATCTAACTTCCATTATTGAATCTTTAAAGCTTCGTTATGGTTGATTGTTTCAGCACCTACAAGTAAAACAAAATGAATTAATTCTCCATCTGGTGTGACTTCATCATCACCCACCACTTAATAATCATGAAGTCTTGTTGGAAAAACTCTATTTCTTTGAGGTCTTTGGATTGTT